CGCGCGAGTCCGTTGCTTCGGTTCTGCTTCGACGGTAGACGGCAGAATTACAGCGCGACTCTTGCTTGTAAATCGCCGTGAATCGTCGTGCGATCATTCGCTCGATCGATTCTTCGACTGTATCAATTAACCGCGATCGCGAAGCCTAGCGTGCAAGAAGAGTGGAATGAGGAGACGTTCTCTTTCCTCGTCAGCCTACAAAGAGGAGATTGTATAGGTTGGTACAAAATTAATTGCGGTTTTCATCATTTTTACTTTGGCGCCGATTTTTTTTCTGGTTACCGTTATTTCTTCCAGAATTTTATCTTGTAGGAATAAACAAACTTGTTTCCCATTGGGAGAAATGTGTGCAGGCCAATGGCCTGTGTTTTGATTAATAAATATATAATTTTTAACTTTGATGTATGCGTCTTACTCGTCGAAACCGCAATTATTTTTACACCAACCAAATATTATTAATTATGGAGTAACGCAACGCGCTGATTTTCTCTCTCTCTCTCTCTCTCTCTCTCTCTCTCTCGTTCTAGTATCGATCGCGAGAGGTGTATCAAATGTACATTAGACGTTCAAGAGACCTAAGCCCCGCAGAAACCGAAGCGAATCCGTAACGTACACTGCAGCGATGGATGCGAAAGCGATCGCTTCGCGATTCTCGTAGGAAACGCGTTACCGCATCCCGCACATTCGCCTCTCCCCCCCCCTCTCCCCATCTATTTGCGCGCATTAAAATATCACCGAGACAATCGACGGTCGCCGGTGCGAGTGTGTGCAATCGGTCGCTTTTATTTATTCGCTCCAGCACGACTGTTTGTTTGCGCGAGGACTCGCCGAGAGTTCCTCCGGAAAGCTCGCACGCGCACGATTTTTTATCAGCGACACGTGGCGTTCGTCGCCCGCGGGCCGCTTCGCACTGGCCGCTTCTTGTCGGCTCGGAGAGCGAGAGGGACGGACTATTATACGGTGGCACAATGGGTCACAGACGAGGCTTTCACTCGTTATCGGTAACGAGTTGCCTTCGGCTCGCCGATGTCGGGGAAAATCGCCGGCGTGCTCTTCCTGGATGTCTTTTATCGGAGCCACTTTCGAGAGAGAGTCTCGCGGAGTTTGCGGATTCGACGTGGCGTTCGGCGCCGAAGCGGAGAATCGGAGTTCGGCCTTTCCGGGCAGAGGGACGAATGTCGTCGCGTATCTGAGAACGATTATTATTACATGAGAGGTCTACACTTTGAGGTTGATTGGTCGCGATATCTTGTTGGAACGTCGAACGATCGTTCTCTCGTTATCCCTGTCCTTGAAGAGCATGCAAATTCCCCCCCATTAATGCCTTCCTTCTCGCGATTGGCTGTCTCGATCTATCGAGCTGCTGCTCACTTTGAGAGCTGCTTATCGCGAACTGTCGCGGCTGTCGTCACGTCACGTATTTCGTCGGTTTGAAGCTCGAGAAGGGAGACCTAGTGTAGGAAATAACGTGTCATGTTTTAATAATGACATAGAGAATGTGAAATTAACAAGTATGTTGTTGTACATGAGGCCTCTGCAAGGTGGCGTTTCTCGCCGGATCTAGGTGGGAAGCCTCGGGATTGAAACACCGTACATGTTTACGTTACGGCTTGCCAGAATTGTCCAGGTATCCTTCTCCGGGAAGGATCGTGCTTCGTAGCCAAAATTTAGCAAAATCTTCGTATCCTGCCGGGAACGCTGTCCTTTTCTACCGCGGAGTTGAAGGTGTTTTTGTGCCGCCATAGTGGCTTATTACTTAACATTATTTTTGTGTAAAGCAATTTATAAATCTGGCAACTTTAGTTACGGCCGAGCGACGACTTGGTCCTTGGCGCGCCGCAGAACGGATCAGGAGAGACGTCGCGCGTGATTCCCGAGTTTTCCGACCTCTTTTCTCAAATCGTTTCCATTACGCGTTATATTTCGCGCGAGTGCGATCATCTCGTGCTACGATTATTCTCGACAAACTATTCTTGGAACCCTAAGGGTAACCCACCACTCTTCATCTTTACCGATTCAAATGTTCAGCCAGAGCGCCCCCGTCGGTATCTCAAATGCGTTTCATTTCCGCATTTTCCATATTATTAACCAAAAAACGAACCTTTTGTTACAGATCTGACGAAGCGAAGCCTGTGGCTACGAGCGTGGATGCGGATGCCGTACCGGAGGACCCGGTTCGGGCCAAGCAAGATCAGCTCGAAGGTGGGTTTACAAACTTCTAATATTCTTCCCTTCTCGAGCTTCCTTTGGAAGCGAAATCTCAGACGCACTCGTCCAAGTGAAAATCGTTGAATTGCAACGGAGCAAAAGTTAAAAATTTCCTCGCGCCAAGCCATTGGCGCCATTCGTCTCTAATCCGAGTCGTTCTATTTTTTGTTGTAGAACTGAAGCAGAACGTGGCTGATCTTGAGTTCCCGGTATTTCGGTGAGTCAACAACAAAAACGAATAAGGGATATTTGAGGTGGTGGGTCTGTCGGCGAATTAGTCTAAGCAAAGATATATGTATGATATGTGGCCCGAAGCGGTGAGATTTGCTCAGATGTAAGACTTGATGACAATCGCGGCGAGTTTGAGCGCGCGTGTGGTCCTGAAAAATATCGTATCTCTCACGTCTTACGTCTTACATCGTTCGTTGCAAAAGCGCCGCGAGATGGAGATATTCAAATGGGAGGGATGTAACGAGATGGAAATGCAACGCCGCGATATGACGGCACGACGCGACTTTAAAATCGAGAGCTTACGAATTGTTCGCACACAAAATGGAGAAAGATGTTAGGACATCAGATACACATCGATGCTCGGTGCTCCCAGGGCGAATGCACTCGCGCATGTGTGTGTGTGTGTGTGTGTGTGTGTGTAGCGGAGGTGTTTGTACAGCGAACGCGCGCGGGCTCGACATGGAAGTAGGTGGGAGAGACACACGAGTTTGTAGCAGGCAGGAGAACCGGAAATTCGTATCTACCCTCCGGTAACCCGAGAAACCCGGGGACCAACAGCCACGGGCCACTCTCTCGAGTAAATTCTATCCTCCTTGCGTCTCCTACCGATGCACCTTCCGCCCCATTCTCTCCTAGTTTTCTTTTTTGTTCGCTCTTCTCCATTAACGTCCTTTCTTTTCCATGCTCGCAAAACTTTCTCATTATCTCGGTGAAAATGCGCGACTGTGTCTCTCTCTCTCTCTCTCTCTCTCTCTCTCTGTCGCTTCCTATTCCCCTCCTCCCTTCCTATTTCCCTCCTCCCTTCCTCAGACCGATGCGATTCAATTGGTCCTTTTTTGGATAAAGAAGCAATTCCGGGGGCGACCCCGATAGAGACCGGCGAATCTTATTTACGCAGCGCTGTCTGTCTGGATATTTTTAATTCCCGTCGCATCTCGCGTCTGACCTTATTTTTGTTGTTACCGTGTAACCTCGCCGCCGCCGCCGCCGCCACCGCCACCGCCACCACCGCCGCCACCGCCACCACCGCCGCCGCTGCCGTCGTCGCTGACATTTCTCGAAATTGGAATCGTTGCTCCATGGAATACTTAAGTGATATTACGCGGCGGCCTCCGAAACTTCCGAGCCGTGATTAAACGTCTTAACGTTGCCACGCAATTTCGGCTATCGCGAAAGCAGCGGAAAATATCTCAACCCGCCTACGTCTGCTTTTTCTCTCGTTTTTGTCGCGCAATTCTTCCTTTTCCTTTTCCCTTCATTCGCGCTGCGAACGCGTAATTTCAGACATCGGAGCGCTCGAGATCGCTTCCGTTTCCAACGGAATACGAGTCCTCGTCCGGAGAATCAGCCGTGTTCCCCGACGACGGAATTGTCGGGGGCACCAGAGTCACATGGACGGGCGCGACGTGTCATCGCGAATCGGACACGGCGGACATTCCTTTGAAGTTTAATTCCCGGTGTAATTAGAGTCACACGCCCAGCCATACAAAGTCGACCGTGCGCGTCGTTACGACGACATTGTTCTCGCCGGGCTATAAATTCGCGTCTCGTGGTTCCCTCGCACCTCCACTACTACCCGCGCCACCAACACTGCAACGACATCGCGACATCGCGGCGGCGACGGCGACGACGACGACGACGACGACGACGACGACGACGACGACGACGGCGACGGCGGCGGCGGCGACGTCGGGCGCGTCTGGTTAATGATTATTCGGTGCTACTAATTATTCGTCAAATTTTCGATGTGGCAGTTTTTTTTTTCGCTGCTCGCCAATGGGACCGTCGCAAGACGTCCGTCATTCCCAGATTTCACCGTAGCGGCTCTCGTACGTATCGCGTTGTTTCGAGTGCGGCGACAGAGAAACCGGTCGTCGGCTGCCGCGTTTCGGCATCCGGGATTTTTGCGGGAGGATGCGAGGTGGCGGGCGGGACGTCGCTCTCGACGTCTTAAATTCGCGAGTACGGACCGGCGAGTGCGCGCACGCGGTGTTTTCAAGATTAATTACGTTAATTAAATTGCTGCCTTGTGACATTTGAGCAACGGCACCGCAAGCGTCGCGCTGGTTTTCATACGCGCCCGAGTTGCATTCTCTATTTTCCCCGTGGACGCAAATTACGCTAGTTTAGCACAATATATTTCCCGTTGTAACTGCTTCGTGAAATATCGCGCGGTAAAAATGCTCGCAGCGGCAACATATACACCAGCGTCCGCGAGTTTGCGGGCGACAGATAAATCAAGATGGCGGCGAAGATTATCAACCGGGGCAGGAAACGATTGTCGCTATTTACCGCGCTCTAAATGCGCGCATTAAAGCTCGCGAGAGAGGCGCGTTTGAAGCAATTTCGGGCGACGCGATTTTCCCGCGTCGCGTTACCACGATGGAATTACGCCGAGCGATCCGGAGGAGCAAGTGCCTCCTCGAGGCTGAGTCGCGTTTCGGTCCGGTCTCTCTCTCTCTCTCTCTCTCTCTCTCTCTCTCTCTCTCTCTCTCTCGCTCCGGATCGGGTAACCTGCGGCTTGTTGAAAGGCCGCCGGTTTACACAGAGTCTTAACTTACCCATCTATCAACGGCACGTCTTTGAGAATTCTGCGAGCTGCTGCGAGGCGATCTCCTGCGTGGGCCGCGAGCAGGATCCTCGTCAGTAGCTGACCAAGGACCATCACGCCCACCACCATCCTCATCCTCCTCCTCGCTGGACCCGCAGCGCGTCCCCACTAATGTCCTCATGCCATCACCGTTCCACCCACCGGCTCTCACCACCCGCAGCACTTCCTCCAATTGGAATGTAGGACGGTCGAATGTGCAACAGGATCGCGGATCCTTCGTTCTCGATCGCGTCGTCTCCGGTTAATTAGCGCCGGAGGAATCGCCGCTCACCGCGAGCATCCTCGATCGCCGATAACCCCGCGATAGTCAAGCGCTCCTCTCCCCCCTCGCCCCTCCCCACGGAGGACGTGCGGCGAACGTCCGTCGGGACGTCCGCGAATTGTGACGAATCGATTCGCGCGCGCACACGACTCTCCTCGAGAGACTCGCCCAGGAGCCCTTTCGGGGAGAGACTCTCGTCGGCACGGGATCGTACTCGGGATCTTAACTCCGGGGCGAGTGCTTCTTACTAGGCTAGTGAGAGGGCAAAACGCCGGGAAACGGCGTTGTTTCTCGGCCGGTCGGGCCACCGCGTACCTCTCGAGATTCTTGTAGCACCTCGCGCACACGTGGTACAACGCACGAGCACACAAGCGCGGGCCTCTACCGTCCTCCTCCTCCTCCTCCTCCTCCTCCTTCTCCTCCTCGCGCCGGGATAACAGAGTTCAAGGATCAACGTTCTCCTTCCACTTGAGCCGACTCTTATCTTGGTCACATTCGTCTTCACACATCCTCGAGCCCACCCCCAATTTCTCACATCCAGCCGGGTCGAAGGTCTACTTTTTCCGCCGTCGCGATAGCTACTTCAGCCTCTCTGTTCTCTCTCTCTCTCTCTCTCTGTCTGTATCCAACCTTGCAGATTAACCTTCCGGTCTCATCGCCGTAGACCCCCGTCCGACACAGCTGCTATCTCCGCGCTTCTTATTCCGCTTGCGCCTCTTCCGCGAGTTCTTGTTCTACCTTGTGCTCTCGGAATACCGTCTCCTCCTTTGCCCGGCCGCCACTCGTTCTGCCACTTAAAGTCTCCACCGCGGCGCGGAGTCAGCCGTTCTTATTAATGCGGCCGGGGCGCTCTTTGAGAGCAAAGGTCGCCGGCGATGCGCGTTGATCGATTCGCGCTCAGAGTTCCTCCTAGCGCGGCTCGAAATAGCCTCGGCCACTTTCGGAATTAATCTTCCGAAACGTATCGCTCCGCGAGAGCGCGCCGTCTATCACCGTCGCCGTAGCTTGCCGGAAACGAACGTTCGTTCGTTGTGGCTTGATTCTTCGCCAGCATTCGCCCTCGTCGATCTTCGTGAAATCGCGCCTTCGTCGATTGAGAGTGCCTCAGTCGACTGCGACCTCTCGCCGGCCGGCCGGCCGCCCGCCCGAGACTATTCTCAATCACTTATGAGCTGCGCGACTCTCTCTCGCGTTTCTCGCCTCGTCTCGTCTCGTCTCGTCCCGTCGCCGCGAATTTCGGTTCCGACGAGGATGACTTCGGAGGCGTCGTCTCTCGCTTCGGGGATTTGCCTCGATAGTTTGATCAGGGACAGGCTCTCAGAGGTTTCTCCCCCCTGTCGCTTTTCTATCTACCCTCAAGGATTGGAAGATCCCCTCCAGCGTGTAGAGCGCCCTTATCGACTTCCTCGGCGGTGCTCGAGAGATCTAGGAGCCGATTGGTAATCGAAGACACGTCAGCCACCTTCCACGATCCTTCGGCGGCGCAAAGTGCCGCTGGTTGAAACCACTTAAGCGAGGGCTATCGATGTCGATGGTCTTTAATTTACGCCGCCGTCGACCTTGAGCCCGACGCGCTTTGGTCGAGCTATCCCCGTAACGAGTGTATTTAAGGAAATTGAACTCTGGCTAGTCGTAGCGCGCGGCGGGGGCTCTCGGTTAATTAAGACGACATGCCGAACGTCGAATCTTCTCGCGCGCTCTTCGTGTCTCTCCCTTGTTACCTTCCGTCAGGGAGAGCCCGCCCCCCCCCCGTCTCGCTCTCTCTCTCTCTCTCTCTCTCTCTCTCTCTCTCTCTCTCTTTTTCTCTCTCCCCCTCGTTCGTCCAGCGAATGACGGCTGGCTTACTTACAGTACTACTCGGCAATTTTACACCCGCGGAGGGGCAGGAGGAGGCAGGCTGCCTCCTCGGGGTGTCGTGCGACGGGGTGGGCTCCCGCGGGCGGTCCGCTCGTTACGTCCGGAAGATTAATTAGACTGTCGAGAAGAAGACGTCGTACAGCCGTGCGCGAAAACGTTTTCCACGAAGGCGCTTCCTTCTTCTTTATTTCCACGGTCGGGGGGGATCAGTGTTCCCGAATGTTTTCCGAAGCGCGATCCATCTTCCGGGGGCTATCCTCGCGGCACACGGGGGACTCTCGCTCGGCGCGACGCGGCGCGGCGCGGCGCGGCGCGGCGCGACGCGACGCGCGCTCGCGCGGTCTTTCCCTTCTGTCTGGGCTACTATTACTAAATCACTTGCACCGGCGACGGCGTTTCATAATCGCGGCCCGAGTGTCACGCGGCACTGTCACAACCGTCCGTAAATCTGTCGCGATTAATTCGCCACTCGATTAAGTCGCCGCGATTAATTACGCACTCGAGACGCGCGCGCGCGCGGTTTCCTCCTTTCTCTCCTCTCCCAACCAGCCCCTCTGTCTTTCACTCTCTCCTCTTCTTGCCCTTTCTCGTGGCTCTGACGTTGCTTCGACGTTAGCCCGCTAATAGATTGTCCTCGAGATTCGGCCCGGATTTTTTCTACTTTCTATCCTGCGACCTGCAAGAGACGGATTTTCGTGATTCGGCCGGAATCGGTTCACGGGGAATTATATATCGCGGAGAAATTCCCGTCGAAGGACGCTAGTTCCGGCCGCTGGAGCGCGGCGAATGGGGATTACGATGGACCGATTTCAGAATATAAACGAGAGTTCGGAGGGACAAAAAGGCGCCGGTTTATTGTGTTATCGGAGAATCAGGCTGGGATTGTGCTTGGAAAATAGTTTTAGTTGCCGCACACGCGCGGCATGTTAATTTTATTCCGAGCCCTCCCGCGAAAAGAACAATATTTTTCATCCCTCCTCTCCGTCCTTCCTCGCAGCCGTTTCTCTCTCTCTCTCTCTCTCTCTCTCTCTCTCTCTCTCTCTCTCTCTCTCTCTCTCTCTCTCTCTCTCTCTCTCTCTCTCTCTCCCTCACTCTCCACGCCTCGAAGCATAACGATCTCCTTCATTAACGTCTCGCTCTCGCCCGAACGATGTATAGAGCGGTCTAGTTAGCCGTCGCGTCATATTACGGCGAGGAAACGATGAAATCGGTGCACGACGTCGGCTTTAATTGATGACCGTAATCCTTACGTGACGGCTGTTTTGGGGGGCGTGTTACCATCGCGACGTAACGAGAGTTATCGTAACGTCTCCGCTCACGTATCCCCGCGGCGCAGGATAACTCCCCGCAGGATAATCATCGCCGCGCGCGTTGTGTCCGTACTTTCTTTCCCGCGCATATGTAATCGCGTCGGAGCCGTTCCGCGGGAGCGCGTAATCTCCTTAACGCCGGCCCGGTTAATAGTAATTCGACGTGCCCGTAGAGGAGAGCGGCGGCATAGCGGCCGGTGTGCGGCGTGAGCCGATACTAGGCCGTTAACGTTCACTGCGACTAATGAGTCAGCTTGTTCATAATTATCGACGAGACACGGCGAGGCCTCTCCGACGGCCGGCCGGCCGGCCGGCCGGTTATCGGTGCCGTGATACACGGTATTTATCCGCGTGTCGGCGGATTAATCGATCGCTAACGGCGCTAACGATCGCGTCTTTTGTGCCGGGCGATTGTGAACGCGCGATTCGATTTGCCGCGATATGAATGCGCACGTGCGCGTGTGTGTGCCGTCGAAAGCTCGGCGAGTTTCGACGGACGTTCTTCCGCGAGATGCGGATTCCGCGACGAGCATTCACCTCGCGACGGCGACGCGTCCCCGCAGGATGTTGACGGAAATCGATTTTGCGCGAAAACGTCGCAAAAATTACGTCGCCAGTCCACCGGCCGCCGCCTCTCGTCGGCTCGCAGGTCGATTAAAACGTCGTCGGTTCTCTCGGAATGTAAGAGCGAGAACGAATGTTTACGCGCGTAAAATAGCGTCGCGCGCGCGCGCGCGGCAGCATCGTCGGCGGCCGCCGTGGTGATCGAGTTTTCCTCTGCTCGTCGTTTAATTACACTCTCGCGTCTTTTATTCCTCGGCGACCCCCGAACGTGTGTCCGAGGGTACGTTAATTGGTCGGCTCGAGGAGCTTGAGCCGGGGTCGTTCGTTCAATATTCGAAGATACGCGCAGACACGTCCAGGTCTGGTTGCGAGACGCGAAAGAGCGACCAGTTAATTCTCAAGGCGTGCGGGAATCGCTGATAACGAACGCGCGAATCGGCTCTCTCACGGTTTCATCTGACAATCGCGTTTCCGTTTTCTCGGACATTTCGATCGTTTCTTCCGGTATCCGACGTATCGCTGCGGCTGCTAAAATCGCCCGCCGCGACGAGACTCATCTTCGCGTTCGCGTTCTCGACAGCAAAAGTTGTACTTACTTTCCGCACACTATATATATATATCATATAGAGATAGAGATATATATATATATATATACACGCATCCGGGCTTATCCGGGCCGAGCGCGAGGCAAAGACGAGCACGTCGCCGCGAGCGACGGTCGTCGACTCTCTCGGCTGACGCGTGAATTTTTACGTCGGCGATCGTCATCTGCACCTACACTCGCAGCAACGGGCGACATTGCGAGGCGATGTGTCTCCTGCGTAGGCGAGCGGTTCCCGTCACACCTCCTCGCTCCTTAATCTTTGATCGCGAGTCGCGGATGAAGGGAACCTCTCGCGCGAGCCGACGCTCGTTCTCGTCGCCGCGCGCCGCTCCACGACGAGGACCCTTTCGATTTGAATACACGCGGCGTGAGCTTCCTCACGAGCTCCGGCCTTTTGTCCTTTCGTTCCTCACGAGAATTCCAGTTGCGCCGCGTCGTTTCGCGGAATAACGTTGACGCTCCGTAAAAATCTGCGCGCGGCTCAGGGCGCGTCCCGTGTCCCGCTCGTAAACTCAACTATAGAACTGTTTTCCAATACAAGATCCTCGCCCGCTGCTTGATTTTTCTCTCGCGGCCGTCCACGCGCCGAAACTTTCCTCTTCGAGAGTCGTTCCTCGCGACCAGGAGGAAGGAGAGAGAGAGAGAGAGAGAAAGAGAGCGAGAGAATCAGAGGGGGAAGGAGAGTGAGAGAGAGAGAGAGAGAGAGAGAGAGAGAGAGAGAGAGAGAGAGAGAGAGAGAGAGAGAGAGAGAGAGAGAGCTCGCAAGACCGCGCTTTACGGCGGCGGCTGCAAGGATGACGAAGCGGCACGCGACGGTGTGAAAGCAGCAGCATCACCGAACGACGAGGTGCCGAAAGTGCGCGCTCGTGGATGATTTCGGAACAGCGCGACGAGAACCCTACTTCTGTCACCTACTTCTCTCCGGCCGTCGCGGGGGAACGCTTTGGGGTAGGTCGCCGCGCGATCACGACCGATAGAGCCGCGCAGGGGTGGTTCCGCGCGTCGGGAGGGTGCGTCGCGACCGACGACGGCGCGAATCGAGCCGTTGCTCGCGGTCCGGAGTTGAAGACCCGACTGATGGAAACGCACGCAGAAACTCGGTGTACTCGAGGGCGCAGGCGCCTCCGCGTCTCTCCGCTGATCTTCTTCCGTTGCACGGAGGCTGCTGCCCCGCCGCGCTGCGCCGGGCCGCGCCGAGCCGCGCCGCGCCGCGCCGCGCCGCGCCGAGCCGAGCCGAGCTGCGCCGTGCGGCCAGTGCCGGTGCCCTCCGAACGTGTCGCTGTCCTCTTCGTCAGCGCGCTCTTCGTGTCCCGACCTTCAGGACGACCTCGTGCGCTACCTTCCTTCCCCGCGACCTCGCCCGAATAGCTAACTCGGCACGCGCGCGCGCGCGCGCGCGTGCTCCGACACTTGCACATTACGAGCTTATCGAAGCGGAGTAACTTCTCGCGGTGACAGGCCGGTGATTCCTTCGCGACAACTTGGTGATTCCGCATTTCGGTTCGAACGCTCGCGACGTTATTGCTTATTTCGTCGTCGCTCGATGAGGTTTCCGTCGATCGATTGCTGCCTGCGCCGTCGCTTCGGCCCGGCCGACGCTGTCTGTAGCCACTGCGATTGAATGTCTGCGATTGCCAGATACAAACTGCGATCTCTTGGACGAAACCGGCCGATTTCTCCCTTCGCGCGAGCGAGCGAGCGAGCGCGTTCAACTTGCGCCGTACACACGCTGCTTTACAACGTGCTGACTTGTTCGTTCGCGTAAAGCAGCGGAGAGAAAAAGAGAGAGTTTGAGAGAGAGAGAGAGAGAGAGAGAGAGAGAGAGAGAGAGAGAAGGGACGAGAGAAAAAGAGAGGAGTGCGCGCGAGAGAGAGGCGGCGCGCACGGGGGTCGTTCTTTCACGTCGGGTTGCAGTCGCTTTTCCTCGCCGGCGAAATTGCCGGCGCTCCCGAGGATGGGCCTGCAACCCCGCGATTTTATATCGACCCGAACATGAAGTTTCGGCCGTGGCGGTCGCGCGCGGCCCAGCCCCCGGGATCTAATTAAACTCGCGCAATGCTTCCGCGTGAGGTTAGCCGCTGCTTCGGGATGGCCTCTGTTCGCCTTACCTCACCACTTCCGCCGTCGTCGCATCGCGCAATGTTGAACGTCGGGAATGTTATTCGGCAGCGCGACGGCCGCGCGCGGCCTCGGCGACTTTTGCGATGCGCGGAATTATTGCGCGGAAAGTTCTCTCTCTCTCTCTCTCTCTCTCTCCTCTCTCTCTTCTCTCTCTCTCTTCCTCTCTCCTGCCGAGGGAAGTTGTCACGTCTCCCCGTTGCTTGCCGTTGTTGTGTATCATGCGGCGCAACTTTGTGTCGTATCTTACTTCGGCTTCCGACGCGGTAAGTGTGTCGTAATATATTGTTTCGCCGATGGCCCTGCCACTTTTCCGCTGCA